ACGTCATTTTGGGATAAAAGTCGAACAGAATTTTGAAATCGCTTTTGATTTTTATAAAAAATCAGCAAAGAACAATAATGTGGTTGCTCAATATCTACTCGGGTTTTGCTACAACAATGGAGTTGGCACACTTGATAATAAAAGTAACGCTTTTATGTGGTTTTTGAAATCAGCAGAGGGGAAAATTACTAGAGGACAGTATAATCTTGGTTGGTGTTATCAAAATGGTATTGGAACACAAAGAAATGAGAAAAAAGCATTCGAGTGTTATCTGAAATCGGCAAAATCGGTAGAGGGGGGAAATGCTAAAGGGCAATGTAATCTTGGTTTCTGTTATCAAAATGGTATTGGGACGCAAACAGATGAGAAAAAAGCTTTTGAGTGGTATTTGAAATCAGCAGAGGGGGGAAATTCTAGTGGACAATATAATCTCGGCTGGTGTTATGATGAAGGTATAGGAACTCAAAAAGATGAGAAAAAAGCTTTTGAATGGTATTTGAAATCGGCAGAGAAAGGAGATAGTAAAGGGCAATGTAGCATTGGTTGGTGTTATCAAAGTGGTATTGGGACGCAAAAAGATGAGAAAAAAGCTTTTGAGTGGTATTTGAAATCGTCTAAGGGGGGAAATTCTAGAGGAGAATGTAATCTTGGTTGGTGTTATCAAATTGGTATTGGGACGCAAAAAGATGGAAAAAAAGCTTTTGAGTGTTATTTGAAATCGTCAGAAGGGGGCAATGCTAGAGGACAAGGTAATCTTGGTTGTTGTTATCAAAGTGGTATTGGGACGCAAAAAGATGAGAAAAAAGCTTTTGAGTGGTATTTAAAATCGGCAGAGGGGGGAGATACTAAAGGACAGTATAATCTTGGTTTATGTTATCAATATGGTATTGGGACGCGAAAAGATAACAGAAAGACTTTTGAGTGTTATTTGAAATCTGCTAAATCTGGGTTTGATCTCGCTCAATTAAGATTGGCTAGATGTTATCAATCCGGATTTGGAGTTTCAAAAGATCGTTTTATGGCGTTGAAATGGTACAAAAAAGCTTACCAAAATGGTTATAATTTAGCAATGGAACATGTTAAAAAATTATACTTATTTTGTGATTATTCTTTCTAGTAGTTTATTATAATCTATATATTTATATGTTAACTTTAGCACATTTAACCTTTTTTATATATTTATATTTTTTCAGATACGAGATACGAGATATCAGATAAAGATATTGAGTACTTAGCAAATATGTATATAGCTGTACCTTTATATAATCACAGATATCCTGATTGTATTTTATAGCTTGTTTTTTCATTTTCAAATTAAGTTGCAAAATATAAATTTGGCTGTAATTACATAAATCAGTCAATGCAAAAGACAAAGTTTAGAATTTTGAATCCAAATTGACATCTCCGTGCGGTAATTTCCTAACTCCAAGAATTTATAAATTATTTGAATAAGACTGAAAATATTGATCAGAATTTTGATCATTAATATAAAGAGAAAAATGATAACAAAGGAACTAAGCTTGTATACGAAAACTTCAATAATGTCTCATTTTTGTTACTCTATCTCAATATAAGCTTCATTTTCCATGTAAATTATAATTGTATTTTCTTGCTCATTTATTCCAAAGTAATTCTATATAATCTGGAATCAGTAAATTGAAATAGCTATCGACATTCTATGCTATTATGTCAATTGACAAAATATTTGATGCAATTAATCTATTAAGCCATAGCAGTATTTTAACTTATTTTTTGTCATAAATTAAACAAAAATAAATTTATTGAAACAAAAATCAGATTGATTTAAATTAGTGGTGATTATTATTACCTATAGAAAAATATGCCTGTAAATTTCGATATATATCTGTAGAAATATATGAAAAGGTCTGATATGTCACGCATAATCGAGCGTGTAAATATAAGACAAATATACGCGATTTATGTGTAAAACACACAACCTATTGCGATTCAGTTATAATGAGCGGTGGAAATGGTTAAATTGGGAAAGAAAAAATGTGAATGGGTAAGGAAAAATGGCAGTAGAAATGATAAAAACAGCAATGGTAATAGCAAAATGGTAATGGAAGGGATGAGCAGAAATGGAATGCACAATGGATAATTTTTTGTAACTACGAATAAGTAATATAGCGATAGAAGTAACTCGATTTAAGTCATCAAATAAATCCAAATAATTCAATTAATATTTCATAAAAATTATTTTTATTGCCATTTCTCAATAATAATTTTTTATATTTATATCGATATTGCTGCTAATTTTTTAATTAATGTAGTAGAATAATAGTGGCTTTTTAGGACATTTTAACCCAGGGTTACTGGCTATATTCGAAAGACTTTATTAAGATCTTGCTATAATTCTATACAATCTCATTAAGGGACTTGATAGCAAAATAATTTTACACAACATGATATATAAATTAGTTTACAAAATAGCTTTCTCTCCACAGGGTAGTAGTGTTTTATAAGCATAATAATATCGATAAGTATAGCTAAATATCTACAGCCATATTGGCTTTCTTTTATTATTCGGATTCTCTCTATCGGTAGATTTTTATCTCTTATATTGCTTCGATATGTTACCACATCCTTCCCAATGTCATATAGCTAAAAAAGAAATTATAGTACATGTTTCTATAATACTTGCAATATATGTTGTGAGCCAAGACAAAGTAAGAGTATAAAATACCCAGTACTTTATCATGGTCACCCCCTTTTGCACTTGTTACTTCGCCATTATTGTGCCATCAGGGGGATTTTCATGGCCCGTGCTGTACTTAAACAGGACCACAGATCCCATAACAAGCAAACCTAGGGGATTATTTGTGTAAAAATATCACATCAGCTATTCTTTATCTGGCTTCAAGGCTATTTGATTGTGCTAAAACTAAAATTGCGTCATTTTGACCGGATTGGAACTGAAATAAGGCTTTCTTATCAAAAATAACTTTTTTAATGTAATACCCACCGGCATGATTTTACATAGTCCAGGTGTAGAATCAGTTGGCTTACCACAAAATCTACAAGGAATATGCTTTTTGCCTTTCAATGTTTGTGGCACCCTTCAAGCCGTCAGCATCCACGCCAGAAAACTCCACCAGAGTTGTGTAAATATTCGCAAGTACATGCATATGTTAATATGTCAAAATTATTAAATAGTGCCAGCTCACTAACTTTTTTCTGTGGACCAAACCACGGGAAAGATAATTTGTGAAAAGATGTGTTAGGAATTAATCTATTTCTCTATTTGACTATAGTAATTTATTTTTCATTATCTACAGTACGTACGTATATCGATATTGCATCTGTTTATTCCAGTTCAAGCAAGAATACACATGTCATGTACATGTATTGTGCAATGTTAAATATCACCGTTACCGTTACAGCGAATTTATGTACTGCAAATACAAATTTGGTGCATTTGTGTAGCGTTAGGGCTTTCTTGATCATTAATTTTATTTATGAGTGTCATGTACCATAATCCAGAAGTCTTAAAAATGACACTAGAATTATTTTCTGCGTTTACTGTGACAAATCAGTGGGTGTGGAGACATAAATATACTATTCATAGTCATATAAATGCTGGTAAACACAAAACTAATACGCAGTCAAACCCATTAAACTGAAGTGGTCAAAAATTCAATTGAATTCGGTTTATCGAGGCAAGCTCACTATAACTGTTCCTAAACTAACTAGGATTTATCGAAACTACGTAGTTTACTATACTAAATTGGGTTTATGCAGGTTTTAATTAAAGCTTCTGATTAACGGAGTTAATTGGATAAAATGAATTATGAACTAACCAACAATAAAGTTTGTATACCATCTTACATGCAGTTGACTCGAAAAAAGTGAAATTGAAGATTTTCTTGAAGTCTTTTTAGGCGTTGATACATCATTTTAAAAAGCTGTCCAATTGTTCCCAAAAGTTCCTACTTTATGAAAAAAAATATCTTTCTTAGTTTTTGAAAAATTCTCTTCAATACAATATCCAATTTCTAGTTGAGTACTTTTTTTGGATGATAACTGACAAAGTGAACTTTGAATGTGATTCATGTACATGAATTGCGTAATTAAATTTTCAGTCTTGGCATTAATAGAAGTATATGTACGAATAACGAATACAAAGGAAAATCCGAAATATTACGTACATGCACGTACGTATTTTGATTTTTCTGCCCCTGAATTAAATAATATCGTGCATAATCTTTCATAGAAAATTATTTACCTAGAAATTTTAAGTTTGTGTGTTTCGATCAGAACAGGTTTACGTACGTAATTATTTTGTGCGAATGTTGCAGAACATAGAAATTCAAGTTGAAATCGATCTAGTGGAAAGAGGAACCAATGTACACTTCAACAAGTAGTTACGAGTACCACTCCACGTTAAGTGATCAAGTTACGTATGTCGATATAAATATAGATACGTAGAATAAACAGATAAAAATCGTCATTTTTGGATACCGATATTGCTATTGAAATAGTAAAGTTTCACATCCCTTAATATGAAGTTTTCCTCATTCTTTATAGAAGAAGAAGCGATCATTGTCTGTTTAATCGCGAGTACATTGTCTACTTTCTTCTTAATATATAAAGTTACAACAAGTTTTACAAGACTAAGGCTTGCATGGTAAATGATATAATTCATAAATCTATATACTGTTTGTAATTCATGGATATGAAATAGTAACTGATTATTCTTATTTTCAAACAACAGTCTAATAGGAAATTTATATGTACTAGCACTTGCAATTATACATACTTTACGATACTTCACAGACAGCATAAATTCCGTCGTATTTTGGATAGTAGTTGCCGTAGAAAATACAGTCTACACAACAATTATCGTAATCTTTATTCTGGATATGGGCCGAAAATTCTACCAAAACATTTACTGGAATAAAATAATGTTCAAATTGACACTATTCGGCATACTACTTTTCAACATTCTAAATTTCACTTGCATTCTATTTCTAATAATTGAAATGGTAGAGGAGCCACGATACATACTGTGGGTGCTGAAAATGATTATAGGGATATTGACCTTGATATTATCGTTCGGATACACTTTTGCTCCAGTCATAAATTCACATTTGCACCCGCGTACTCCGAAACTACAAAAAACAGGACACATTAATCCTATGAATGCTGCTGTAGCTACTTGGTATCTTGTGGCGTTAGGCACTCTATCGATATTATATTTGGCTTTATATATTACTTTTTATATGACTTGTCATAAAAGTATAATAACGTTGTCGGCAATAACCTCAATTGATTCAATCATACGGAATGCGTTTACTATTGTGCTTGCTACGCCGCCACCGAAACGGTTTATTGAAACTATTAAATCGATGGTGATTCATCGGCGACCGTTGAATAATCTCATTTGTGATCGTGGAGTTGTGAGTACTCGGATGATAGAAAACTGTGCATATGCGGATAGAATAGAGATGACGGAACTGATGTGACTATCACGAAAATCACATCTGGAATATCCATCGCTATACAGTAGTTATGTATGTATCTATCATTTAATCTCTGAACATAGCGATAGATGTAGATGGAGCGAGTTATCGTTATAGATCAAAGTTATGAAACAAACAAATGTAACGGTAATAGTAATACAAAATACGTACATCTAAACTCACGAATTTTCAAAGTTCGTATATCGATATTGCGTCATCAGAAATCTAGTATTAGATTGGTCGAAGGCTGAAAAATTTTACATTAAAGTATGATTTTGCCTGGAATTATAAAGAATAAACAAATTCTGTCATTAATTTTGGTTGAAGATCAAATAATTTCTTAAATTATGCTTAATTTTGGTCAGGATTATAAAAGGTCAACAAAATTATAGTGTTGATCACATTTATTAATGAAATCCAACAAAAAATAATTTTAGACCGTTATAATTCTAATAAAAGTTATGCAAACAAAAAAGTAAGCCAAAAAGTGATAAGGCTTGATCTAATCTATCGGCTTTACGGTTTAGTTGTTAAAATTATCAACTTTTTATTTGAAATCAGCAGAGATGCTAGTGGGCATTGTAGTCTTGGTAATTTTTATCGAATGGTATAGGAGCTCAAAAAGATGAGAAAAAGCATTGAGTAGTATTTGAAATCAGCAGAGGGTGGGAATATTACAGGACAGTCTAATATTGGTTATCAATATGGTATGGGAACTCAAAAAGTTGAGAAAAACTGCTGAATCTCTCAATTCAAAGTGGCTGAATTTATCAATGTGCATTTGGAATTCCAAAAGATCTCGACATGGCATTAAAATGGTATCAGAAAGCGCACGATAATGGTCATGATCGAGCGGGGGAGTTGGTTGAGTCTTTTGACTTTAAAAAAATATATTCTTATTTTGAATTTTTCGTATGAATATTGTTGTATTTAGTTAAAAAAAAAAGCCGGTTTAATGAAATATACTGTTTGTAAATGAATGCTATGGAAGTTAACATAAATCAAATCGATATTGAATTGCTATTACGTGCTTCTTCATAGAACTTCCATTTAAAGTATGTTAATTCATTAGAATTTTGTTATCGTTATTAAAAGAAGCAACAATATCGACATGATTATTCTTAAATGACTCAATGAATCTCGATATCAATACTGTATACGTCAATTAAATAATGCTCAGGATTGTAGTTACATATACTATTGTCAAAAAACTGGAAATGTCGCATGAAGATATCGACAGTCTAATAAACGAATGCGCGAAAATTAACTAAGATCCACCAATGCTAAATATCTTGCAAAAGAGGTTTGGAACAATTTATAAAGCATCGCTGCACTATTACAAGAAGTGGGATAGTAGGATTATGGCGAAAATAAATTTAAACGATATAACAAGGATAAACACGAAGTTGTGTTGGGATCCTTACATGATTCAAGCAAATTACATCGGAGTTTATAAACGAGGTAAAAATAATTAATTTCTTGCTCTCTAACACATATCGATATTACGTAATACTACATATGCGTACACGTGTTTATATGTTTGTAAACGCACATAAAAGTGACAGGTATGTCAGATTTTTCCCATACTTTTTACATATTACATGTACATGTACGTACATGTAATATGTAACATGTATTACGTGCAGAATTTATATGGTAATTATAAAACGTCCAATTATATGAATGGTAAAATACCACAAGAAAATATGAAATAAATAAAGGAGCAAGTCCACATATTAAGTGACAGAATTGCAATGATTATGAAAACAAATTTGAAGTTAAATTCTAAAGAAAATGAACTAATAAAGCAATTGAAAGTTTCGGTATCGGTATTAAACAGATTAACAGAGTAAGTGATAGATTGCATTGTTGTAAAAACACTTACCTTTGGAGAAACTTCCACACATTGTAGTTTTACGAGAGTTTGTTATCGTTATAGTTGTGGGGAAACCTTTAATAACTATAGAAAACATTGAAGTTTATCAAATGGTTTAACAGAATCCGAGTGTGTTAGACATAAATAACCCTTTTTTCCTACCTGTGTTTACTAGAAAACTCAATTGCTGAAAACAAAAATAATAATATACTTCTATGACAAAAGGTTATTAATAATAAATCAAGAATGTAAATGTTTCATATGTTCTCAAAGACAGTCAACTGTAATATAATAAAAGCTATTTTATAATATCGATAATTTGATATCATTTCTTACATACTCTATGTAAATACATTTTTATTTTAATTTATAAGAAGTTTTATCATTACGTATTGTAACAGTAATATGTTCCCTATAATCCAGCCAGCTCAACACAGTCGCTTTCATTATCACCGCTTCTCTGCGATAAAACCAGTTCTCTTAATATTTCAATAACCCATTTAGGCGGCGACAAAGCCATCACCGTAAAAACCAGACCATAAATGACAAAACCACATTCGCTTATCACATTCCATTTTTTTTCTAAATCCATATCGAACAGACAGTTGACGTAGAAAGCGAGAAATAGCAATAATAAAAACCCTGTTATTAACATGTACCAAATGATGATGGATACTTTTTCGGGATTTGCGCTGTGCTGATGGTTTTTCAATAAAAGGTTGTCATCACTGTTTGTGATAGTTGACGAAGACGAAGGATAAACTGTAAATCGAAAAATTGTAATCTGTGTAAATACAACTACAAGAATTCCGAATAAATTTTGTGTCAAATAAATGGACAGAGCTTTTGATCCGTTATCGTTGTATTTGATAAGACCCAAAATTGTCGAAAATATAGTGAAGACATTGTAACCTCCGATCAAGCCAAACCAACATTTCATCGATTTTGTATGACGCTTGGTCTGAAGATATGATTTCTCGTTTATGTTGTTGCTGTTGTCTCGGTCATCCATTAGTAATACAGCGACGAAAGATGTAGAAATCGCATCTATGATCAAGCAAATAAAGAAAAGGTGCAATTTAATTTGTTCATCTAATATAATATTGAATATCGAAAACACGAGGATCAGAGTGTTGCCAATTAGACTAAAAATATGAAATATTACATTTATTATTAAATATCTGAATTGATTAGAGAAAATAACAAAACACACTTTTTTTATTACCACACAACACGCAATCTCGTAAACTTTCTATAGCTACGATAGACTATAGCAACACATGTGAAAAGAAGCAAAAGTGACCCTATAACTGCTATAACTTTCGGCTCTTGGACTGGTGCTTCAGCCATATTTTTTTTCTATTGGAGACTCGGAAATTAGAAAAATAATCTTTGCTTGCGAAATAAGGAAATTAATTAAACTGATACGTACCGGTACATTCACTTAACGCCCACTACATGTATTACCGTTACACAGTGTTGTCACTTGGACGTAAATCCAGCAATTTGATTGGTTGGGACAAGTGTCCCTGGATTTATGTCCAAGCGACAACACTGCCGTTACATGTATAAGCCACGTAACGGTAACGTTGGTGGACTATGTAGATCATATTAAAAATGATATCGATACCTATGCCAAAATTTATATCAGCAAAAATTAGGATTGTTCGAAACTCTGTGCAGTCTATACCAAGAGGTTGAATCCGATATTTATAAAAAGGATCAAAATTTAAGTGTCTTTAAACACTAAATAAAAAAAACATAATATTCTGCAAAAAAATCTGAAGTTTATGGCTAGAGAAAACCAATAATACAAAATCAATAATTGTGCTTAATTAAGACACAAACACAAATGAGAAAATTAAGCTTGCAATTAATCAACTAATGAAGAAATTAAATATAATTACGAGAATCTTCATATTGAATTTCAAACGAAAAAGACAACTTGAAACAAGAAAACAACGAGCTTGGAGAAAAATCGGATCAATTGAACAATTCATCGAAAAAACTTAAATTATTTTATGCTTGTCCATTCCCGGACTCGGCAGAATTCGAAACCTTTTGTTTTTGTTTGTTTTTTTTTTTTTTTTAGCATACTGTAACCTCTGACATTGCTGTTCTCAGCTGATTTTCGAATACTTTTACTTATTTCTTTTGTTTATTTATCTGATTCATAAAATACACGAAAATTGATTGCATTGCGCATTCCTTATCACCTCCAGTTATTCTTTTTCATAATCATAGGAAAGATAAAGAATATATTAAATTCGTGCATCTCCATTTCTGTTAAACATCAATACCACTTCTATATCATTTTAAACACATTCATGGGAGATTCAACTCTTCTATTTAATAAAGTAGTAAAATAAGTTCGATATTTTTATTTAAGAGTGTTACGCGCGTTTAATATTGCTTTGCAAACTGTCTAAAAATTGTTGTCGGTAATATTTTCAGTTTTATAAGTGCAATAGTAATTCAATGGGTGAATTTTCTCTTCAGTGGGATCTGACGAATTTATTGGATCATTGTAAGAACCGACAATGCTGCTTGGTACCACAATATCATAAATCACACTTTGAGTTGCCTTTATACACGTGGAGTGAATGGATCTTGGCTTAGTTTTGGTTTCACTCAAACTTTCATTTCGTGTTTACTATTATTCTCACTAGTTTAAATAGAAAAATAGCCAGATTTCCATAATAACTATTTTATTTGTAAGTTAATCGATGGAACACGTTAATCGATGGAACACTCTCGTGCTCAAAGTCTGTCCAGTAAAACGAGTCCGATTTTACCCAATTTGTTTTCGAAAAACAATAACTCAAAATTTCACTATAATAACGAACTTTTTATCTTCAAGTAAAAATGCTCGGCGCAAAGTTTGGGTATATAGTACGCCCCAAGAAACGGAACGCCGGGAAAAAAAGAAGAAATAGAATACCTTGCATATCGACAGGTAAAGGTAAGTCAATTTTGTTCAATGATAATATATCTTCTAACAAAAAGATGATTTTTTATTTTTTAGCGTTCCATTTAATATGACCGAGTTGGGAAGCAATTTTAAAGGCGGCTTCTAAAAATTTTTTGCATTACATATTGTCTAACCTTGTTTAATACTCCATAGACCCACCCCGCGTTTCTATGACTTTTTTAATCCTATTTGGCATCGATCCGTACAACTTTGTACAGTAATCGATATCTACGCTCTTCCACGCGATTTGTAGCTTTTTCCACAATTCGCTTTTGGTGGAAAGTGACCCAGGAAGTTGTATCGACTTATTCAGTGACAAAAAACTTGATTTAGTACATGTATGTCCTATCACAATTTCACGCAGATCACATTAAATCACATGATCAATATATTGTTCGAAAGCTCAAAAGCTAACCATTTTATTATCATAAATTTAATACGCGATTCTTTCACCTTTATTCGCAATAATTAACTGACAACGGCGTGACATTGAATTTATTAAATTTTTTAAAGTAATATCTGGCAAAGAATTCCATTCCTCCATTACAAACTGTTCCAATTCG